CCTATCATGCCTCCCCTGAAGCTGGACAGTCCCAGGCGTTCCTCACAGGGGAGCTCGCTACTCCAGACCCCGGATGATTTTCACCGCCGTTCTCTGTACCTTTTCCAACTCAGGTGAGGCAACCAGAACCGAACACAGAATTCTAAGTGTGGTCACACCAAGGTTTCTATGGGGGGGGGGGGGCAGGATCTTGGCAGTTCCATTTTCTGTCCCATTCCTAGTGATGTTTGGCACGGTGCTTGCCTTCCTCACAGAGGCTGTGCACTGGGGCGGCATTTCCATCCAGCTGTCCACCGCCACCCCAAGGTCCTGATTTCCAGAGGCTGATGTGGCACCGAAACTTGCATGCACCACCGGTGGGTTTGCTCCTGTGTCTTCCCAATGGAGGATTCGCAAGGACCTGTTTAGTTGAAGATTCAGCCCCCACAGTGCTCTTCCCTGCGACTTGCCCGGTCAGGGGCTGTTCTGAACTCCCTCCCACTCTGGGGAATCCGAAGCTGCACCACGATCCACGGGAAGGATCTGGGACAACATAGCCTGAATGGCTTTTCTCTGAAAAGGGGAGTCTCCTTCCAAGAAGCCGGCCACTCCAAGGAAGAATATTTTGGGCTGTTGTTGTTTTTTTAATGCATTGGTAAATTATTCAAGTGACGGCTGCATCAGCAGAGAGGAGAGAAAGAAAAGAGAGAGAACCGAGCAATTTAGTGGGAGATTAATGCTGTTCTGTGCTTTGTAAGGAAGCTACCGCAGCACCTCGGTTAACCCGCTGCCTGGCCAACACGTGGCCCCCGAGCCCCGACGGAGGGCTGGAGCAGGACGTTCTCCCGTGAGCCACCAGAGAGGGGGACGCCACTCACCCGGGGAGGACCCCGATGGGCAGAACGAAGAAAGGGCTCGGGCTGCATCCAGACACACAGAACCTTTATTCCTCAATGGAGCCATTTTCTCCACTTGCAAGCAGGCGTAAGGACCTAAGAGAAGCCCTGCTGGATCAGACCCACGCTCCATCCAGCCCAGCGCTCCACACACACGGTGGCAAACCAGCTGCCCAGTCTCCCTCCAGCAGGACGGGTGCCAGGCCTCCTCCTGCCCAGCTCCTCAGCACCTGGGGTTCGCAGCCATGCCGCCTCCGGTGAAGGAGGGAGCCCGTGGCCAGCGAGGCTATTAGCCACAGATAGCCGCCTCCTCCTCCTCCATGAATCCGCCCAATTTCCTTTTATTTATTTATTTCTATTTATTTAAGGTTTTTATATACCACCCCATTACTGATGTCTCAGGTGGTTTACAACAAGCACAATCAAAATAGAGAAAAACACAAGATAAAAAAATGGTACAGCATCTAGAGATAAATGTAAAACCACAATTAAGACTAATTAACAATTAAAATAATGTGAAGATAACAAGGTTTTCACCTGGCGCCGGAAAGAAAAAGGTGTTGGCGCCAGGCGAACCTCTCTGGGGAGCGTATTTGAGAGCCATCCGGACTGGCGGCTCCTGTGGCAGCAAATTCCACAGTTTAGCTATAGGCTGCATGAAAAAGGACTTCCTTCTATCAGTCCTAAACCTCCCACCCATCAGCTTCATGGGATGACCCCGGATTCAAATCATGCGAAAGGGATTAAACTCTTTCCCTCTCCACTTTCTCCACTCCAGGCATTACTTTAAACCCCTCCATCGTGTCTCCCCTTCCTCACCTTTTATCTGAGTGGAACAGTCCCGGTTGTGGGACCCCTCCTCACAGGGGAGCTGCTCCAGCCCCTGGATCGTGTTCGCTGCCCCCCTCTGTGCTTTTCCCCACTCAACAACACCCTTTTGCAGTTAAGGAGACCAGAACCGGACACCATATTCCAAGTGCGCTCACGCCGAAGATCTGTGTAAGGGGAGTCCGATGCTGGCAGTTCTGTTTTCTCTCCCGTTCCCTTTTTTATAATAAGTGTTATTCAAAATAACCCTAAAACAAAAGAAAACTAAAAACAACACCAGCCATCAGAAACATCGGACCTGCTGGATCAGCCCCCACATTTTTTTCTATTTATGATAACTTAAAAGCATTTTTAAATCCGTACGAAGTCCCGTTTCTCTAGCCAATAACCTCGCCCGTTCCTAATGATGCCCAGCAGTGACCCGCCTGCCCCCGTCGCACTGACCCTTCCTGCCCTCTGGCCCCCGCAGCCCAGAGCTCCTCTCCCGCTGGAGTGCCTTTCACGCCACGCTGCTTCTGAGGCAGCCCCTCTCCTCTCCTGCAACGCAGAGCCCTGTTCGCACGTGGCCAGGAGCCCTCAGTCGGCGTGTGGAATTCCCGGCTCCCTGGGTTTAATGCGCAGGGCAGGCAGTCGCAGCCATTCCCCTTCTGAGCACGCCTTCGGCGTATCAGGCTCCCTCGCTGCACGCACACACTGCAGGCCGCACGTGCATTTCCGGGTGAGCTTGGATGGGTCTGGCACGTGCGTGGCATTTCACGGACAGGGCTGCCGGAAGGACTCGGCTCTCCCCACATTGCTTGGGGTTTAGTATTTGCGCAGGATACAGTTCTATATGCTCTCAGTTCAGCGCTGCTTTGCACAAGAGCTGGCATCCCCCCGTGCAGAGCCTTCCAATGGGCTATTCGTGGATGGATGGGGTCAGCTACGTTATGCCTATAACTCGTTTCAACTCCTGCATCACCGAGGCTTCTGCTTCCAAATTCTTTGCAGGATTGAGATGATCTTCTTTACATGTGTGCCCACCTCGGCCCTGGGCTGCAGCCACTCCGCTGTCCAGAGCTTCATGTTCTGCCTTTCCATGCATTCCATTGCACAACCACAAGGGGTCACTGCAGCACAGCCAACTTGTAAAAATACATGCCCATTTTATAGCATTCTATGGTGTGCTAACCCATTAATAGGACATAATCCTTCTAAAGAAGCCATAGAGAAACTACTTGTGCTGACGGTGCATTAACTTCCAGGAAGTGGTTAAATAATTTAAGAGGATATGTACATCCGTAAATTAATACTAGGGTCTTCCAATATGAAGTATGGAAGCCGTCCAGAGATGAAAGTAATGGACGGCATACACATTTGATAAACAAACAAACAAATAAATAAAAAGTATATCCATATAATAAAGTTCTCTCAGAAAGAGGCAACTATTGGGTATTGCCACAACACATGGTTAGCTGACCTAGAGAAACCCGTATTGGGACACCCGGTAGACACAGAGAGAGGGATTTGCTGAAACAGATCCATAATCAGAGTCTGTTGCTAAAGCAGGATCCATGGATTAGACAAAATGGGCCAGTCCAGCTCCTTCCGTTCCTGCTTCAGATCCCATGTGCCAGATTTATTCTCTGATAATAGGTATAAACCTGGACTGTGGGGCTACATTTCATGACGGTAACAGTGGCTGGTCCACACCAAGAAGGAAAAAACTCACTGGTAGTGCCCACTGATTGATTCAAAATTAAAAAATCAACTCACCTGCCTAAGTCTATTCCCAAAACATCTGACTAATCTTTAAATCTGGACTTTCCCATAAAGTCAATTTGAAAAAATAGATCAAAATGTAACTGATGGGAAATTATATGCCCCGTGGTCTCTAGCAGCCACGACTTTCGAAAGGACCCATCTGAACATCCATCGGAACGTGCCAAGAACCTAAAGCTGCCCATTTGGAGAGAGGATGCAGACAAGAAGGGTGAAAAAGTGACCACAGTGGTGAATCAAAGCAAAGTGGAGAAGACCAAAATTTGCTAGAAATCAGTAAACGGTTTAAACAAGATTTAATTTTTTTAAAGGACAATATTTACGTTATTATATTGCATTAAGAATTCTCTCTCTCTCTCTCTCTCTCTCTCTCTCTCTCTCTCTCACACACACACACACACACACACACACACACACACACGAGCTGAATGGGAAGCCCATGTTTCCCACGTATGTGTGTTAGCTTGTATTCCCACTCATGTTCCCCAGTGATTGTAATTCAGGAGGTAATTTATTATTATATTGAGTTTTTATTATTTTTCCTCTTCTTGTGAGGAAGCTGCTTGTGCTAATAAGGTCCCTCCACACCCATTTTTATCTTTACAACCACCACCCTGCGAAGTAGGTCAGGCTGAGAGGCAAAGAAGTCGCTGGCCCAAAGGCACCCAGTGGGTTTCATGGCTAAGGGGGATTTAGAACCCAGATCAGTCAAATCCTGGTCCAGCAGTCTAACCACTAAGCCACACTGCCTTGGTATTTAATTTAGCTACCTCTTTGTCCCTTAAAGCAGTCCAACTTGGTGAAAAACAAATTTGATAGTTTACCATTGTTGAACTAGGCCTGCGTAACGTGGCTTTCCAGATGTGGCTTTGCATGTGAGAAGTGAGGAATCCTAGCTCACAACGATCAGGTTTATTGCTCAGAGTGCTCATCAATGGCACCTTCTCAAACTGGGGAGAGGTAACAAGTACTGCAGGGCTCCCCCGAGTCCAATGCTGCTCAACTTTTTAATTAATGAGGTGGCTGATCAAGGAAGTGCAGGGAAAGCTTATCAGATTTGCAGATGGCTAAACTGGCTTGGCTGGCTAATCCGCTGGAAGGCAGAAATAACATTCATGGTGATCTCGACAGGCTGGATTGCTGGACAGAAGGCAATGGACTGAAATTCAACAGGGGCAAGTGCCCAATTCTGCGTGTAGGAAAAGGGAACCAAATGGTTGCTTATTGCACTGGGTGGGTTTTAACCTCCTCCTTTTCTTTCCATTTCTGCTCCTCAAAATCCTGCTTCACATCCTGTATCTTAAGGCAGTGCGTGTGCGCGTGTGCGCGTGTGCGCGTGTGCGCGCGCGTGAGAGAGAGAGAGAGAGAGAGAGAGAGAGAGAGAGAGAGAGAGAGAGAGAGAGAGAGAGAGAGAACGAACGGAGCACTTTCTGGACAGAATACAGTGGAGGCATCTGAAGATATCATCGCTATATGAATAAGATGCTTGATAAAGAACCATCCCGCAGCACTGAAAACAAGTTCGACCATATCCAATGATTTAAAGCCACTTTTTATTATTCAACATTTTATACATAATAAATACAAAGTTTTACAGCCAATATGACGAAAGCATCCAACGTCCTGCTTTCAGTGTATTGACGGCTGTACATGGTGATATGTTCTATTGCATGCCCTGTATGAAGTTTAAAAAGGAGGCGCATTTTTACAACTTTTTTCAAATAAAAATTAGCAGCTCTTACAGAAAATATTTTTAAAATATAACTAAGGAGACTTTTTTTTTAAATAACACTTTCTGAATTTTGAGAGTCTGGGTAACACCAACAACAAAAAAGACGCAGAAAAACTGGCCGACTGAACAGAATGCGAATATGATTGGCAACACTTTTTCATGAAGCATTTTAAAATGTTTGCAGTACAGTTCCTCTTAAAAATTGTTTTTAAAAAAACTTAAGAATAAGTTTGATAAACACTAAAAAAAGACCTCAAACAGATCAACAGGACAGAAGGTGTGACCCTCCCCCCAAGACACAGGAAATCATCACAGGAAACTGCCAGAAATTTGGCAACCGCTGCAGATAATGTTCTTATCCTTCACACAGCGCTTCTCTTGCTTAGGCCAACTAAATGAACGAAAAATTGGCAAAACAGTCTTATTTCAAGAGTCCCAGCCAAGATTATTTGTGCAAAGTTTTAAGATGAAAGTCTTGTCAAATGATTTCACAAAATGCAGCCACAGCATGAAAAGGGAAGATGTATCCCGTTAGGAAACTAAATGCAGAAATGGTTACTCTGTTTGTACTTGCTTAGGAAAAAATGAACACACAAGAGCTCCTTTAATAGTACTTATGTTACAGCTCTAAAGACACTTCGTAGGCGGTTTTCTATTTTCCAGCTCTTTGGCTAGAAATGACCTAGGACGGAATTTGGTTTAAATGTTTGCCCCTTTCCTCTCCCAGTGTGGGGGCGGCCGCCTGGAGACCACGTAATCTGAAGCAGAGTTCTTCCCCTGCTCCCACTTCGCTTTTACTCAGGTTCCACCGGCAACCGACTTTGCCTCTCTGCGGAGCCACCGGAGGCTGCCCAGCTCAGGGAAACTGGCTCTCTCCATTGCCACGCAGAGGCCGATGCCTTCGGCTCTCCGTCCAGAAGGCGGATGGATGGAGCTGCAGGGACCGCGGGGGTCCCAGCCTGGAGGCGGCACCCCAAAGCCCACCCACATGCTGGGAGCGGTAAGACGGGGCCACAGCGGCGGATGGGGTGAATGCTGGCTTCTCCTAACCTAACCTAACCTAACCCAACCCGCTATCCCCTCTAGGAAACCGGGTGCTGTGCCATTCGTACGGCTTTTGAAAAGGTCCTGGAAAGTCTGTTCAGGCAGGGATGATATCGGACCAACGACACAAGTATGTACATGACGGGCAGCAACGGTGCCGTCAGGGCGCTCTGATCGCGCGAGATGTGCGTGTAGACGGACCCGCTGCCCTTTTCTAGCCTTGGTTCCTTGGGTCTGAGCTGGCCATCGGGCCTCGTGTGGAGATCTAAGCTAGGCCTATCTGACGCTAAAGCTGGACATCACACTTCAATATTCTAAACATTAACTCCTTAACTCTAGCCGGATGCTCCAGGATATACTGCTAATGTCAGAAAGTAAACTATACAGCAATAACTGGGATAAGATGCGATCCAAGTGCAAAAGGAAAAGAAAAAACCACTTAAAAAGGAAATGAACAGCTATTTCCAGCTCTACAATGAAAATCCTGCTTATTCAGTTTTATCCTAAGAAAAACATGTTGTCGCTACTTAAGTCAGCACTTCTGTAGTAGATACTCTATTACTAAACGCACCGCATAAATATCAATAGAAAAGGAACACTGTGTTCCGGTTTACTGTTAATTACAGAAGAGGCGCACTCTGAAAAATCCCACCTCCTATGATCTGCAGTGCTTTTCCTCCATCGTAGAACTTTTTTCATCTTTTTTTGGAGGAGGAGGAGGAGAGGATGAGGAAAGAAAGAGAGAGAGAGAGAGAGGAACCAGCCTCTCCTTAAGCTTACAACTGTGCGTTCCCTTCTCTATTCCATACATTCTGATTAATAACCTAATCAGGTAAGTAACGCTACTTGAATAGGAAAAATAATTTTAACACATTCCTATGGCAACAGTAATATACTGTACTAATGCACATGGTATATGTATGCTTGACTTCAGGCTGGTCTACATGTTACACTCCCCATGCAGAAATCGATTCCTATCATGAACGGGCCCGTATCGCCGCATCCTGCGGCACCGGTATGCACACCCCTCCTCTTCACCACGTGGCACGGCCTGCCTCCGCGCGAGGAGAAGGTAGACCAGGTTTACTGTGCCACATGTTGCAGAAACGCGCGGGATACGCCATCATGCAGGATTATTTCTGCAGGGAAGCCGTAGACGGGCCTTCAGTGGCAAGGAAGAGGGAGCTCCTGGAAGCCTCCCCTGGAAACCAGACGGGTCAGCTTTCAGTCGCAGAGGCAGGCCTTTGCTCGCTTTGTGCTAGAGGAGGAAGGATGGTGGATATATAAAGTGAAACCAAACAACAGCAACAAATAAAAAGGCACAAAATATTCATGACCGTGGGAAGTCCACCACCACGTCAACGTCCCTGGAAAAGCCTCCAGTTTTCCTCGATTGTTTAGAAGTCTCTTCCATCATGCAAAGGTGCCCAAGAGGAGAGCCGGCCAAACGTGGCCCACATTCGGCCTTGATTGTAGCACAATTACGCAATTCATCCCGTCGGTCACACCAGGGTGATTTCCACGTCCTCGATCTTCTCCGTTGGTCCACGCTGCTGTTGTGTTGGGGGAGGAGGGGCAGCTCGCACCTGGAACGGGCCAAATGTCCATGACTAGAGGAACCCTCCCTCGGGCACAGGGGACCACCTCTCCTCCCATGCCCGCAACTCGGCTTTCCGAACCAGCATGAACCGGCCACCACTAGTGCCCCCTCCTCAGCTTCGGGTGCCCACGTCAGGGGAAGCTGCAGCTAAATAAAAGCAGGCGCAGATGAACCCGAGCCCCTTCGCTCGACCACGCGGGAGGGCCGGTGGGGAGCCGGCACGTGCCTTGCTCCAGCCTCACCCGGCAGCTCCAGGGAGGGCTGGGAAGACACCAGCCTGAAGCCCTGCAGAGCCGCTCACTGCCAGCACAGCGCTGGACCGGACTGGTCAGGGCAACTGCTGATGCTCCCGCACAGCAGCGCTGCCTGGCTCCGCGTCACATGGGCACAGCGCAGCCGCGGCGCCGACTTTGTCCCCACAGGGTCCTGTGCAGCAAGACCCAATTCCCGGTTCTGTGATCTGTCTGGGAAACTTACAGGTCTCAATTTGCCGTAGGAGGTGCTTTCCGGAAGAGGTCGCGGGGGCTGCGAGAAGCCAGGGGAGTGTGAAGTTAAGCTGTTTTCTGAAAGAAAAGGGAACACACACTGTGATGTGCCTCTAGATGCAGGCACTCGTACTTGCCGCACTACCGAAAAATCTTCGCGACGTGTGCTTGAAACGCGGTGCTGGAGGAGAGCTTTGTGAATACTCTGGAGCGACTGGAGCACAAACAAGGGGATCAAATCCGCTCAGAACCTTCCCTGGAAACCAGTGTGACGACACTCAGGCAGTCCTGTTTGGGCACATCATGAGAAGGCCAGACTCCCTGGAGAAACGATCATGCTGAGGAAGTCGAAGGCAGAAGAGGAAGGCCAAGTATGAGCCGGATCAGTTCCGCAAGGGAAGCCACAGCCTTGGGCCTGCAAGAGCCGAGCGGGGCCTTCTGGGCCCGGACAGTTTGGAGGCTGCTCATTTGTAGCGTCACCTTAAAGTTGGAAATGGCTCGATAGCGTCTAAGAGCCGGGCTGCCTAAAAATCTTAAAATTTTGGAATTTCTCCTCCTCCTCTTTTTTGCCATTTCTATACCACTTTTCTGGGCCATTTACAACAAAATAAAATCCATTAGCAATAAGATAAAAACAACAATAGCTTAAAATATACAGTAAAATATGGTTTAAAATAGCCTTCCCCAACCTGGTGGTCTTCAGAGGCATTTGGACTACAGCTCCCAGAATTCTCATCCAGCAGGACCCCTGACTGGGGATTCTGGGTGCTGCAGTCCAAACATGTCTGGAAGGGACCAGGCTGGGGAGGGCTGCTCTGGAAGGTGGGATGGAATGTTTAGGTCAAGGTCAAGGTAAAGGCTCCCCCTTGACGTTACGTCCAGGCATGCCTGACTCTCGGGGGCGGTGCTCAGCTCCGTTTCCTGGCCGAGGGAGCCAGCGCTTGTCCACAGACGGTCTCCATGCTCATGTGGCCGGCATGACTAAACACCAAGGTGCAGGAACGCTGTCACCTGCCCACCGAAGTGGCACCTTTTCATCCACTTGCATTTGCAGGCTTTTGAACTGCAAGGTGGGCAGGAGCTGGGACGGAGCAACGGGAGCTCACCCCCTTGTGCAGATTCGAACCGGCGACCTTTCGATCAACCGGCCCAGCAGCACAGCGGTTTAAACCCCTGCACCACCTGCAGTCCCTACGGAATGTTTAAGCCAGCCTAATTTCTTGGGAACAGGGCAACCGTTTTCTTGTTTTAAGCTACAGGGACCCACGCGTATCGCAGAGCAGGCTCAGGGCTGGGTGCCCTCTGCACTGCTCTCATGAAAGTCCAAGCCTCTGATTCCTGCTACGCTTTGCACACTCAAGTCTAAAACGTGGGCACATGCGTCGGGTCTGGATGCCATCACAAGCCTGAGGGTGCAGAGGCACGGTCCTTCGGGCCACTTTCCCGAGTCCCTGCGCTCCCTCTGAAGTCCACAGGCCTGCCTGGCAGCACCCCAAAATTCAACAGGCTTTAACCCCTCAAGCGAGGCCACGGTTTCTGCAATTTCTGCTCGATTCTGCCCAAAGTAAAAGTATTACCCGCAGTTTCTTTAACCCCCCTCCCCGTCAAAATATGAACACCTGCATGCACTTCTCTGACCCTGAGCAGACAGAATGAGAGCGGAGCAGCAGCTCTGAAGCCGGGAGGGGAAACCGCAGTGGCTCCTCTACACGCTGCTTTTATTTAAATGAAGGAGCCGCAAGGCCTGCTCAGCTCGCCACGACGTAAGATCCATGGCACTCTTCTATATTCTGCCTCATCTGCTAAAAGCTGCTAAGCCCAACATGAGGACGTAAAACAAGAAAACCCTGCAAAGATTACAAAACTGCATCTTGGCACCTTCTCCAGGGACAAGAGAGGGGGACAATCCAATTCTGGAGGGTGCCCATTGCACGGTTTGGGGCGTCCACAGGAGAAAGAACGGCACAGTTCACCCCGTCAGAACAAGCTGCTCTTGTGCGCTGTGAGCAGGCCGTGCGCCACCACACTCCAGGCGCCATCTGCCGGATCCCTGCCCGGCTGCAGCTTATCGTGTTGCCCAAAGCGGACTGGCAGGGCTTGGTGCCGGATTAAAGGATCCCCGGATAACCCATAGTCTGCTACTCCAGGGCTGTTTAACCTCCCAACAAGCTATGCTGCCCACTTTGGATGACATGACCAGCCGTGGCCAGGCAGCGACCGTGCGAATGGCTCTGGGACGCCGGGCTTTTCCTGGACGAGGCAGAGGGACCACCCTCCCCAGCTTGGCCTCGCCTCCTTGGGGTTGGTTCCTCTTACCGTTGGTTGACGGAGACCTCGGGAAGTACTGGGAACTTCTTTTGTCAGGGCTGTGGAAGGGGCTGGCTGGAGGCTGTTCGTACAGCGGCAGCGGTGCCAGGGAATTCTGGGGCTTTGGAGAAGGAGAGGCCTGCAATGAGAGAAGCGCCGCTGGATCTCACTTCTCGGACGGACACACTCACAGCGCATCTGACCGACAGAGCTGGACGCCAGCACGCAGAAGCCTTCAGGAACAGCACCACCTTAGCTGAGGAAATAAGCGAAGTCTGCCTTTGGGAGCAGAACACGCTTCTTAACCAGCACTCGAGTGAGGCCAGTGTGAACCGCGGCGTTTGCACCGACTGGAAGCCATGTGACCAAGTAGGTTCTTTTCAGAGATATCGAACCACCGATATAGATCCATCATTTGAAATAACAGAACTGGACACATAAATATGCTCGTCATGAAAGCACGATAAACAAGCACTTTCGAAACGGCTTTTGAGAAATATGGAAACATCGCCCTTTGCGAGCCTCCCCTTTGTCATCCGAAGGCAGAGAGCAGCTGGAATGCTTCCAGGAGGCGGTTTGTGGAAACAGCTGGCCAATTCCGCTGCCGCCCTGAGCCTTGGAAGGGGGACCAGGCGAGCCACCTGTCTTACACCAGAACTTTCAGGAAGGCCTCCTGTAAAGCCGGCCGCACAAACAGAAAAACAAAACACGAAACGAAGCTCAGAGGTTTGGCACGAGCATCAAAACTAAGAGCAGAGGGAGCCAAATACCAAAGTGGCAAAATCTACCCCGGCCTCCTTCATCCTGGTGGTGCCCCCCATATGCGCAGGGCTACAACCCCCTTCCAGCTTGCCGCAGTTTCACATCTAGAGGAAAGCAGGTTGGAAAAGGCTGGCCTGTGCTAGAAAAGTTCAGGGCTCCTCTGCACATGCTCATGGAAGTGTTTCCGACCGGTGCAGACTGGGCGCCTTCACCTATTAATCACTGGCAATTGGCTGTGTGCCCCCCCCGCCCCACACACACAGAAGGGAGCTGTGGCTGGCAGAAGCTTGCTGGCATGGACCCACTGGATGCAAATGCCCAGCAACATTCCCTGGACACACACTTCACCGAAATGCTGAAGCACAGCAGAGACCCGAGTTCGAATTCCCGCACAGCCATGAAGCAGCCGTGTTGCCTGCGCCAGGAACATCTTGCGGAGACAACCCACATCCATGACCCTTCGGAGTAAGGAGGGGTAGCAAACGTAAGCAAACATGCTGAGGTTTACTCTCCATCAATGGAAAACGAGAAAGCGGGTTCAACAATTAAAAGCTGACTCAACACATCAACCTGGAGGAAGGCACATTTTTCAAAAGCGGACACGCTCAGCCGGACCTGAAAGACCTCGCACTTCTCCTCCCGCCGAGCTCCGCCTGGCCTTTCAAAGTACCACACAAAGATTAATTGCAGGAAGGAGACTGGGAATTTCCTCCCTGCTTCGAGTTCCTCTCTGCTCCTGCCATTCTTTGGACACATCTGTGGCTGAACTTTGCCAGCATTCAAAGCCAGTTAATATTTAAATGGCCCAGGCAAATTTCGTTTGCCAGTCTCTGAAAAGGGGCCATTTACCTCGTTTGTTACTTAAAGCCTTCGGAAGCAAATCCTGGAGGGAAAAACGGGCCACAGTGGCCTGCGTCCCTCGCTGGCTGTGGGTTGCCATGATGTCTGAACCTGGCCAGGGCGGGTGCCCAGGTGACATCCTGAAGCCCATGGCTTTTGCTGGGGATGGTGCCCAGTACGTCCAGGGAGGGATCACAAACTGCCAGAGTTTCTTTTCCTCCATGATACGGTCGTAACAGGAAGAGAGAAGTCAGGGTTAGCATAAGCCACCGCAAGTTTAGAACCAAAGGCCTGAAACAGGGGTGCTGGTTATAATTACAATATATCATAATACTGATCATTATACTTGCCAGCAGTGGGGATGCCAGGCCTTGGAGCGTGAGCCTGAGAAGAGCCCACGGCCGGTTGCCCCTCGCGGCCCTCCACCCGCCGCCTGGCCAGAGCGCTCCCGCGCATCTTGGAGGGGTGTGCCCTTCGCCACAGGCCCGGCACTAGCGGCAGCTGCTCTCGGAGAGCAGCCCGAGCAGAAGGCGCCCCCGCGGTGGCCGTTCGCGGCTGCGGCCACGCTGCCCTGCCTGGTCCGCAACGGTTCTGCGGGGTCGACGGGCACCCGCTGCATCCCAGCCATCCTGCCTGCCCCTGCCCCTGCCCCTTCCTAAGCATCAGGTCGAAACGCCACGGGCTTTCAGTGCTGCTGCCCTTCTTTCTGGCAGGCTCCTTGGAAGGGACGCACGGCGGGGTCCAGTTCTCCCTCCCAGCACGAGAAAGCCAGAAGCCCTTTCATGAAGGCGGAATGGAGAGCAGAGGAGCTGCCCACGCAGCTCAGCCACGCTTGACGCGAAGGCAGGCCCTGCGGGACGGATGCTGGCGTACCTGTGCGTGCAGCTGCCCTGCCCGGCTCCCAGCCGTGCCAGCACACCCTGTGGAGGCAGCGGCCGGCCCTCTCCCAGGCCCAAATGGATGAGGACGCCCCTGCGAAGCGGGCACCGCTGCTGGTGCCACATCCTGCCTCACGCTTTCCCGAGCAACACGAATGCGGTGCCCTGTCCTGGTCCGACCTCGGCGGGGAAGAGGTCAGCGTCACACGACTGGCCTTCCCTCGTTACAGGATCAGGACTGCCTCCTGAACACCCCGGCGCCCTCATCCAACAGGGCGGGCTTGCCAAGCGCTGGTACGGCACATCCAAGGCTTCGCCCGTCCTCCTCATGCCCAAGTGGGACGCCGGCAACACTCTTCCCTTACCTGCACGTCGGCGACGCACGGAGCCTCTCCGTTTTCGGAGGCTGTTAGTTCTTCCACCAGCACGGAAGGGAAAACGCCGACGCGCCCGTTGAACTCCCCTTCCCAGAAGCCGTCGTCATCCTGGTTCTCTTTGTTCAAGATACGGATTATCGCTCCCTCGGGGAAGGACAGCTCGTCGTCCGTCTGGCCCTCGTAGTCATAAAGTGCTTTCACAAAACAAACTGGAAAAGAAATGGCAAAGTGTCGAGCCAGAAGACTTTGACAGTGTGTGTGAAGGGGTTTCTGGCTTCACCTCTGCCACAGCCCTTAGTGCCGCTGTGGCCGCCGTTCCCATGCTGTCTGTCGGCAAGAAGCAACATTAGCAATGGCTTCTCACACCACCGATCCTGCTTCTTGGGCAGGCGCCAGGCAGCCTCTTGCTCAAACCTCGTGTCCTACGCAGCTGTACGATTAATCTGCACGTGCTTCGCCAGAGGCCTGCCAGGGCAACTGACCTGCCAAGCGGGCAGGGCTGCCAGCAGCTGCCTCATTCCATCACGTTTATTCACTCACTCACTTAAAACCGTTTTTTCCTGCCTGCAACCCAACAGATCGCAAGGCAGTCTGCAGCAAACATGACATCTGACATTAAAACAGGTAATAAGCCATGACAGGAACAACACAATGAGGCCGTTCTCAAATTAAATGCCAGGGGAACAAAATTGATCCGGCAGCAAAATGGTTGACTGCGGGCACCAGGCACTCTTCTCCTGGGAAGGCGTTCCACAAGGGGGAGCTACCGCCCCTAAAGGCCCCGCTGCTGCTAGTGCACGATCCTTCCCTTCTCTCTTATAACTTATGGGATAATTTATTCTGCCCCATAACCTGATTACATGGCTCTTCCATGCCCCGTCAGCTAAGGATACGGAGTGGGCCAAGCAAAATCACAATGCAGTGACATTGTTACGTGACACAATCACACACGGTGGGCACAAAGGGCAGAGGTTGACCCCAGTCACGACAGCTCTGTGTTGACTGCCGTGAGCGGCCCGGCCTCCAGATCGATGCCGAAGGAATCCCAAGTGAACCCAGGTGGCTTCTCGTTGAAGGGGGTGAGCCAGAAGGCCCACCAACTGCCTGTCCGACACTGCTCCTGTGGATTCGGGCTTACAGGGCACGTCCAGGTTGCACCTCCTGCCACTGTTCAGGAGGCTGAACCTGCTCACAAGTCCTGCTTTTACCCAGCCATGACGCTTTTACCCATTTGCTAAATGGGCTTGAGCACCTCTGGAACGGACCACGCCCCTAATAAGCCTGCAGAAGGACCCTCTGCGACCTGCAGGGGCGCAAGGCAGCGCCGACCCAGCGCTCACCACTGGAGTCTCCGTTGAGGCTCCCTGAGACCAGCTCGGCTTCGGCTGAGTTGCTGGAAGTGTGGGACCGGCTGTCCAGGGCCGCCAGCGACTGCAACATGCTCAAGAGGCTGTTGGACGTTGGAAACTGAAGGTACTTTTCCGGCACGTAGCCCACGTGGCCCGACTTGTTCCGTGCCTGCAGGAATTGAGAAGGCAGAGAGGCGTCAGAGGAGGGGAGAAAGGGGCGCGCACGGCCCCCGCTTCCTCCGCATTCCACCCCTCCCCGTCGCCCCTGCCCTGGGCCACAATGACAGGAAACGCAAAATGATACCTTTACCCAGTCTTCCATATCTCCGTCTTCAATCACTTCCAGAACCTCGTGTTCTTCAATAGTTAACTCGTCGGGCTGGGAAGCCTGTGACAAAGGGGAGTCATGCGCCACTTGTGGCAGACGCGCATCACGTTCCAGAACACCACCCCCTCGCTTGAGCAAGCCTGACGCAGGCACGTCCGAGAGCCCCGGGCCTCGTCCCAAGGCAGGCTCTGCCACACGGTCTGGCTGCTTTTCTTGCAACTGTGTCAGGGTCCCAAGGGCCAGAGCATGCCAGGCCCTCCCTTCCTCCACCGTTTCCCAGAGTTCACCCAAATTCAAGTCCATTGCATTCATGACACGGTCTAACTATCTCATCCCCTGCCATCCCTTTCTCCTTTTGCCTCCGATCTTTCCCAGTGTCAGGGCATGTTCCAACGAGTCCTTCCCTCTCATTATGTGGCCAAAGTGTTTGAGCTTCATCTTCAGTATCTGGCCTTCTAAAGAAAAGTCAAGGTTGATTTCCTTTAGGATGGGCTGATTCGATCTCTTTGCAGTCCAGGGGACTCTCAGGAGTCTCCTCCAGCTCCACAGTGCAAAGGCCTCCATTCTACAGCCTTACAATTTTAATGTAATTCTTTACTGAAGTCGCATCCTACTTTATTTCTATGCAGTCCAATAGCCAAAGCTTCCTAGGTAGTTTATAACAGTACATAAAAACGATACAATAAAATACAGTAAAAATATTTATCGTACCAAAAGAAAAATAAATAAATCTGAAAATACAGTGAAGAATGACCCTGTCAAAGGAAAACACTGGTGATGGATAATTCCCTCAAGCTCCTAGGAAAATCCCGAGGAGCCACCAGGAGAACAGGAGGATCCTTGGGATGCCTGAGGCAGGCCGTTCCCACTGTCCCCCTGCTCCTACAGAGCGGAGAAGTCTCAAAGCCAACCTAAGCAATGGCCGCACTCCTGCATGCAAAGACGGAACAACATCATTGCAGCTTTTTGCCAACCGACGCTCCCTCCGTACCCACCTCCCATTTCATGCTTCTTGGAAGCAAGCAGCATTTGCAAACCCGAAACTCTGAAACCAACAGCGTCATTCTAACTCCAGCTGCGAGGGGTGCCAAGGGAGGGCAAGTCAAACATTCACCTTGAAGTCAAGTACCAAGTTTTGTCCTGGAATGCACCACAGGTCATTCCATCAGCATTAAAGCTCAGAAGCAGGATCCCAATATTTAACATACCTTGTAGGAATAAACAACTTTGCAGGTCAACGGGTAATTTCTGAGTGTTCCAGAAGGACTGGAACTGCTGTCGTCAAAAGCGTCCATGCCGTCTTCCAGCTCTTCCCCTTCCTCCCGTTCCACATCAACATTTAGCTAGTGGGAGAGAGATTAGAAAAGAATGAGCCACTTGGATGAACTAAGGGAAAGCCTACGATCAAGACCATCGCTGAGGAAGCGGCCAAAAGCCAAGGTGGCGAAGGTTCCATTTCTGCTGGGCGTCAGCCTGGTTTGTCAAGGAGCAGCCGCTCAGGCATCGCTGCCCAAATGGTTCTGGCCTCACCGAACAGTGCAAACGAGCCTTCTCCACGCATCAGTCGGATGAGTTTTCTCTCGTCTACGCCAATCATTACCTTCTTGCGCATACCTTCTTCTAAATACAGAGATCAATGCACTGCGCCATGGATAGTCAACCTGTGGCATCAGCACAGGTAAAAGGGACACAGGTAGTGGCAATTCCTGCAAGGCCGGAGAGGCACTGCAAGGTCCATGGGCCGCACCAGAGGGGCAGAAACATAGCCCTGGCACTCTCAAACCGCCAGGCCTGTGAACTCTTCAGCTTCGGTTCATGAAGCCCACTGGCCGCGTGACTTGTGCTTCCAATTATGCCACAGGTGGGTTATTCCTGGAGAAAAACAAGGGCTTTTGTATGTAGATGGAGAAGGAAGCAGAGAAACCCTGGATGGATCACTGCTGAGACATGCCCAGTCCCGCATCAGAAAAGAACGCGAGGGGGCTGCTGCTAACCACAGGGTGTGCTGGGGGCAAGTGCTTCTGCCAGACGGGCCCTGCACCAATTTTGCTGATTCAGATTCTGATTCAGGAGAGGAATATTTAGAGGGGACTGAAAAGCAGGACTTTGCTCAAGGCCCTGGGATTCAGCAGGGAGCGGAGGCACCAGCGCCTAATTCAGGGGGAGACAAGGGGGCAGGGGTGGGGACTGGGTCTGGGAACAGAACGGAGGAACAGGCAGCAGGAGGGGCTTTTGAGACTGGGGGATCTTCCATGGAGATCCGCGGCTCCCCTTCTTCTTTTTAAAATTTTCTTCTTTTAAAATTTCTATGCCGCCCCATTCGCCGAAGCCTTGGGGCGGCTTACAAATAAATCAATTAAAATACTATAAATTAACAATATAAAACAAGAGAGTGCCCCTGTGGCTGGGCGGCAGTGGTGGCGAAAAGTGTGATCGGCCGAGAAGCGTGTGCAGAAAGGGTGTGCGCACTTTCTCGGCACCCTTCCCCATGGGCTGGGTCAGAAGTGGATTCATAGGGAGAGTTTTGGGAAATAAGTGCCAGGTTGGGGTCAACAAACCCCATTCCGCATTCGCAGAAGCGTGACTGGATGGTTTACGTGTAGAAACAATGAGGACCGGTTTGCTGAGAAGCAGCTTGAGGTCGGGGGTTGTTGGAGGGAGGAAAGGCGCTTGCGACAGCATGTGGCTCAGGGTGTACCAAGTGCTTCCCAGTGAGAACAGTCACGGCTCAATTCCTGCATCCCCCCCCCCTTTTGGTATTCCAGTTGTCTGCTCCTCACGCCAGTGTTGCCCATAATTCTGACCACGAAGGTGATTTTCAGGGGAATCAGCTGAGTGGCACCGTTCCCTTCCCCACAGAAGCCCACCCAATCCCCCGCCCATGGCTTGGGCATGGAGCAGGCAGCCCACCTCTGTTCCAGCGGTGCCCTCCGGACACCTCCCTTGCCTCCTCTGCTGAGTTGCAGGGCATGGGCCTTTCTGACAGCCGCGGTGAGCTGAGCTCGGCTTGCGACTGCAGCTGTCGGAGAGGGGAGACTCACTCCTCCCCACGGTGCCTCCTGGGGTACCACGTGGAGGACTGAGAGGGAAGCAGAGTGCAGGTGGGATGAGCGTTCCCATCATGCGCCCGCTTGTCTGGGGTAAAAACCCATGAACCGGGGTGAATCCCTGGGTGCTCCTTGCCTAGCACAGGGAAAGCGAGGTGGGGTAACAGGCCTTGTGCTGCACTGCTGCTTTCAGGAAGGTGGCACTGATTTATGTATTGCCCACAGGAAGGAACCTGGGGGGGCTTTCCTAGCCCTCCTCCTATGAAGCTGCAAATCAGCGCTCCAGAGTCATCCAAGGCACTTTGCGGCCGAGTGGAGACGAGAAGCTGATCTTGCAGCTTCCCCTTCGGTGCCTTCCACTCCCCAGCCGTTGCCTTAAGATCACAGGACAAGCTGCTTTAAAGATGTGATCGGGTTATTTTTTACAAAAAAAGCACAAGAGCATGGAATCGAATGCAGATCAGGATCCTTGAACAGGTGTTGAGCCTTCTCTTTCAGTTTGCAATATACATCCCAGCTGGATGGCGATGTTTCGTGGAGGTGCAGGAAGCCTGAGGCTGCAGGCCAGCGAAGGGCTGAACTCCCCCATGCGGCTTTCCCAATCCATGAGCTGAGGTGCCACCCGACCGCGCGAGGCCGGGCTGCATAGCTAACGAACAAGAACTGAACACAGCACAGAGCGATTTCCTTCCAGAGCTTTTGAGAATATTGGAACAAACCTTGGGAAACAACCGGCTGGCTAGCAGCAGGCTGGCTTCGGAATGAGGGTGCTGCCATCGCTTATAATGGGGAAGGAAAACTTTGGTAACACAAGGCCGTGGTTTTTGGTGACTCGCTTAACTGAAAGCTGGATGTGCCTGCTCTGAAATTCCCGTGAACTAGAAGCATGTGGGGGTGTGGAGATGAGGAAGTGCACAGGGAACCACCACTGTTCATGAAAACCACAGAGTACAATGCACAGGCTTCTGATGCGGAAGCGGCTTCTTTGAAAAGCAGGCTAAATACTGATTATTTCAAGTTGCATAGCACAGTTCCTGTATTTAGGATTTGTTTGGTGCAAAGCTGTCAAGGGCGGTTTCGGACAAGTGGGCTAACAGACACAGATACCACGAAAACAGAGGCGCCTGTGCCCAGCCACGCTGTGCGCCGCAGAGAGAACGAGGGATGGAAGGCAGTGCAAGGACCGCAGAGCTTGGCGTTTCCATTCTGCAACCGGAACCTTTCCTCTAAAAAGTGCGCCAGGCCAGCTTTTGGCCACCTCCGGCTTGCCCACCGAGGGCAACCTGCACTGCCCACCTGAGGGGGAGTGCCAAAGGCGAGCAGGGAAACTGGATTTCTCCCTCCCGCAGCCCAGCAGCTGCCGTGTCATCGGGGGCAGCACCCGCTATGGAAGCTGTTCCACGAGTTGGCATACTTGCTGCATGGAGGGGGAGTGCTGGGCAGAGACCCGGTTTTACAACAGGGGATTGATGGAAGAACAGAGATAAACCAAGAGGGCAAAACACGTCATGGAGGAACGACATGCTCCTCTTCCTTGCACCGGAGGGCCAATGCCCGAGGGCGTCCGTCCCAATGGGAATAAATACTTCAGTGCAGGTTCGCTCATTCCTTGCCTCTGCCTCTCTTTTCCTTCCAAAATGTTGGTTGCTTGCTCCTTGGAGGTGGGGGTTACTTTTTTTACTTGCATTTCGCTGGCAAGCCCTATTTCTTTCAATAAGGGCCACATCCAACAATGCCACCACAGGGGGATCTCATAGAAATGACTGTAACTTTTTGTGGAAACAAAACCACCAGGCCAGAGCAGCCAGGCACCAGGCGCAGCGATCCGGCAGCCTTTAGGGCTCCTTCACAGCCCCACTCAGGGTGAGGCCACTGGCAGGCGCTTAAGCCCTCTTCCATTCAAGCAGGTCTCTGGCATATCAGCCGGACGGGTGGGTTAGGTGCTGTTTTTGTCCTGTCACACTGTGGTTCTAAGTATGTTCTTGTCCACTCTTTACAGCCAAAGTTTTATTTTAAACTTCAGTGCCATGTCCTTGGAGGAAAGCAGAGGCATACATGAAATGAATAAATCAGGCTGGAATGAGATCATCCCCATGACAGCAGAGGCAGGAGGACTGTGGGGTGCTTTTGACTGATGGGTAGGCAGGAGTCCCGAAATGCTCCTGCTCCCAGTTCTTGTCTGAAAATGAACCCCACCCCAAACATTGCTCCTTTGCCAGGCTTACTTCTGGCTTCGGATCCCAAGAAGACACTTGTGCTGAAGGAGCACTGGTAGGCAGGGTTCAGTCCTTTCTCTGGCCTGCCAACTGTTTCCTTCAAAAGTATTTCTGTTCTCCTCAACCGTGTTGTATAGAGCGAAGACCTGCAAGTTTGCCTTGTAACGTGTAGCCTGCACTTTAGAAGACGCACGTTGAACTCAGGGGAGCAGAGAGTGGCACAATGCCCAGGCACAGGGAAGCCGTAACTGACATGGTTCAGTTAAAATAACTTATGGCCACAGAAGCTGGACATATTCTAGGTGGAGAAAATGGTCCTGCCATCCATCTGAGCTGGCTTCAACTGGCTTGAATGGTGCATGGGGTGGAGATGCGAAGGCTGGGCTCCCCCCGGTGGCGGAGGATCCTTGGAAGTTCCTCTTCCTTTTCACACGATCTTGTTTCCAGAGCACCCACCATCCACATGCTCAACTTCTTCTCAAATTTCTTCTGTGGCCCCAGTCCTTGCTTAAATAAACCTCATTTCTAACCATGAGTACACCAGCATTTTAAAGCAGAGTAACACAAACAGCGCAAGCATGCATATTTGCGCCAAGTATTCTGATGCTTTCCTTGGAAGAGAATTTGGGTTAGAAAGAGAAAACAAACAAACAAAAAATGCAACAGTACACATACCTCTGGACCCCACGGTAGAACAAGGTGCCAACCCAAGAACACTAGTGCTAGAACTGTGGGGAAGCACCAAGCCCTGTCTTCTCACCAGGGCAGGAAGGAGGATGACTGCGAAGAGCATGACTGATAAGCAGCTACTAACCAAGGCTGCACCAGAACCTCCTGGTGATAAAGACGGGGATGCAAAAATGTTGGACAGCCCTTTCCGGGTGCCCTGTTTCTGGAAGTGGATAAGAAAGGAAGCCCATCCGTGCGAGACGGGATGGTCAGGAGGCGCGAGACCAGCTTTCCCGCAAAACCTACTGCTGCCTGCTCCAACTGGCACAGCCTCCCCAGAGCTTCAGGGGGCAGCTCCCCCGCCCCCACCTTGCTACCTGAGAGCCCCGAACTTGGTGCTTTACGTTGGCTGGAGGTCATGGGAGCTGCCGCGGAGCGAATCTGCACAGCGCCAGCTTGGAGAGGGCAGCTCTGACTTCGGTTGTCGTGCGCTTGACCAGCAGCCTTCTGCACACAGAGGCTCGCAGTCGCGGTTTGCCCTCGTGCTGCGCGCTCCGAACCGCACAGGGAGGAAAAGCACTCAAAGCCGTCAGGACAACGCGAGCCTTGGCCGCACTGACAACTTTGGAAGTGCCCCCTGCTCTTCTTGCCTTCCAATTCACAGCGTGGGGGGAGCCTAAGTGCTCCAGCTTGTGCCACACACACATTTTACAAGCTGACCGAAGTGCTAGCTCTAGCTTGGCCAGCTCTTAATTATTCCAGCCTGTCAAATGGGTATTGCTGCTAAGTCCTAATTATTATGGACGCTTGACTGTTTGCTTCAGCTTCTGATGCGGGGATCACTCCTCCTCCTTCCCCTGCTGCTGCTATCGCCCCCCCCCCCCCCCCCCACCAGCCCTTGCAATGTGTCCCAGAAAGGAGCCCAAATGTTGCGGAAACAAGGCTGGGAAGAGAGGGGACAACGCCAGTCTCCCTCCCTCCGTCCAGCTCTCCCCAACTCAAACTGAACTTAACCAAAAAAAGGTACTTTACATCAATGCCCCCGTGGACTCATAACATCGGGGTTATAGCTCATGTTGGCGACATGCAGGTTATGTGAGGGGGTGTCACAAGGAGGAGGGTCGAGACCTGTTCTCCCCTGCAGAGGAGGGCAGGATGCGCTCCAATGGAGCAAAGCTCAGGGAACCCAGGCTCCATTTGGATGCCAGGAAGCACTTCCTGACAACTGGGACCCCGAGGGTCTGGAATGGGCTTCCACGGGAGGTGGCTGAGGCCCCATTGGTGAGGGTGTTCAAGGACAGGCTGGACGTCCACATGGTGGGCATGTCGTGAGTGGAGCCGGCTGGAGCTGGGGGTCAGACTAGATGGCCCGGGAGACCCCTTCCACCTCGCTCTGTTTCTCTGTTTCTATGTTCCTATCTCAGAGAAGACGCGTGGAGTCTGGTCCTGCTCCAGATCGCCTGGTACAGCTGCTGCTGAGACAGCGAGGCGTTTTGCAGAGGAAGGTGGAGGCACGCCAACACAAATAATCGCTCCAACACAGCTCTGTACTGACTACTTGCCAGCAGCGACTGCGGTTCCCCCCTTATGCGGGAGGGACCCCCACCTTCCCCCTTGCGTGTCAGCCCAAGCAGTGGAAGCTCATGGCGACGTGGCTCAGCCCCTGTCATGCAGTTCTGCCTCCACTTGCACCATCAGCACCAGGCCAAAAAATCAACTGCAACGAAAAGGAAGTTTTCAACCTTTTCAATACAGATCAAGTTGGCCAAATGATAATCCGGTTTGCTCATCATGGTGGCCAAATCACAGGCTGCCTGGCCCGAGGTCCATGGCAGACCCGCCCGCCCGGGGTCTCTGTGAGCAAGCTCTGCTCACCACAACCAGATGCGTCGGCGTGACGTGTGAGCCCAGGCCGACGAGCTGCCTTGGGGCAAAGCGACGCTTCGGCCTGGGCTCATGCGTCCTGTCGGCACCCTCCGGACATCGCTCGCAGCATGTGGTGAGCTCGCAGGCAGCTCATCCCGGCAAACTGTGGGCGAATTAATTAACTCCTCGTGTGCCATCACGCCCCGTCAAATGGCCTGCATAATGCACTATCTCTATTTCAACAACATATATAATAATCAGTTATCGCCTAATATCCCAACAGCAATTGAAGTACAGAAGGGCAGCATCTACTGAGCTGCAAAGACATTACAGAGGCAGTGGAAAACCCTGACCAAAATGCCTCTTGAAAACAGCAGAGAGCGAAACATTCAGACCTATCAATGCAAGTCCAACCGGAAGTTTAAAGCCATACGGGGCTCTTTCGTGCTCTGCCCCTTTACTCTCAGTTGGGAATCCTCGTGCAGCCAGCCCAAGCAGGATGAGAATTACTTATTGAAGTATCAACTGCACTTTAAAGGCGAGCACATTCATGCTGAAACAAACTTCTGTGAATGGCAGTCGGTTCCAGGGGTTGGTAGTCAGGTGCCCTCCAGATGTCCTGGATTACATCTCACATAAGCCCCAGTTAGCACAGCCAGTGATGAGTAATTATGGGCACTGTTCTTCCAAATGCCTGGAGGGCACAGGCTGCCTCTCTCTGGCTCACTCTACACTCTACCATTCATAAACACTCATGTCAGAATAAATGTGTTGGTTTTAAGATGTCACAAGACTCTTCCCCCCCCGCCCCCAGAAATGGTTAATTGGCAACTGGGCATTTTGGCCTCGCCGTCTTTCATCTTTCCTGCTTTAGGTGTGGCCTGAGCTTTTGTTCGGATTCAGAACATGCACCCATCCCAATGCTGGACTGAAATGAAAAACATCTGCTGATAATCCACAGTTAAACAGTCTTAAATAGGAGTTGACAAGAGCTGAGCAGGCTGCCAAGGACAGGAAATTGGGTGGCGGGGGGTGCTCATGCAGAGAAGCGCCTGAAGTTGGGGGCCACCCGATGGCACACGACCTTGACGACCAGGTGCCGCTGACAATTCAGAGAAGGTTACAGAACCGAACCTGCACCAGATGCGAAGAGCCATTACTGGCCGCCGTAGTCAGCCCTGCCCAGCGCTCATTCTCCAGCTCCTCCATCACCTGGTTCATGGCGCTTTTCAGCCACGTATCCACTGAAACCCCGATCTGTTTCAAGAGGTCCAGTCGAGCTTCGGCTTTCAGCTTTATTATCTGAGATGACAAAAAAACAAAAAAAACAAAAAACCAACGTTACTGGGATCCTTCTGCCACTTGGATAAATTTCTGGGGAGGTGGTATTAATATCATGCTTAGAATGATATACATTTAATTCTGCAGTCTCTTCAGAATGGCCTTGTGAATCAGGAGAGAAAACTGATTTCCAGAGGCCTGGAATTTCATGACCCTAACTATCCTTTGGACAGAAGTAATCACTTACTAGCAGCTGCCATTCAATTTTAAGTGCTCTTTAAATAAATCGTAGCTCTCAAAACATCTTTTGCACAACCTCGCTGTGTGCAAACATACAGAAAAGGGCATAAGCTCAGAAGCCTGTTCTTTGGAGTTTGCTGGGGCAGCAGATCAGCCAAACAGCACTCGCTTTGCATCGGGGTACTAAGTTGGGCTGCGGCCTCCCCAGTGAACTTCAAAGCAGGGCTGGGAAAGCCAGAGACCAACGGCCAGGTAAGGCAGGATCGCAGGCTCAAGGAGCACGACTGCAAAGCACTGACGGCTCAGAGCCCACATGACTGGCTTTTTGAGCCCCAAAACGAACAGCTCGTGTTCATGCATTATCGTAATCACCGCACTGCTTATCCCAGTGAATGGCACGACCCCCTGCGAAACACGCCCCCTGCCCTTCACCCTGCAAATCCCGCAGGGATGCTGCCTAAGGGGCACCCAGAAGGGCTCCCACAGCTGGACGTCGCAACCTGAATGCTTCCTGCAACGTACACTTTCCTGTGCTGCACCACTTTGGGTCAACCTGTACGTAAAGGACTAAATGGAAAAAAACCTCAGCGTTCTTCCCTTGCTGGATGCTGCAAAGTATTTATTACAGTCCATTTATCACCTTGAGGGCTAGGCTGATGACGACGATGACGACTCCTTTTCAAAGGGAAGCCATTCAGTGGTTTCAAACGGGGACGGTGGGGAATTTTGCAAAGTTTTGCAAATCGGTAATTTTGATTTACTGTTCAAACATTGAAAACATGGCGGATAAGCTGTTACAACTGGATGGCAGTTTAAATTGTTAGCCCGCAAAGCATAAAGTGAGGAATGGGCATGAATTTACTGCTGATGAGCGAGCAGATGGGTACAAACACAGCTTACAATTTCAGTTGGAGAACGGTGAGGAGGGAGGCCGGCAGCTCTGGTGCACGTGTTGCTCTCCTCCTGGGGTACCTGGACTTCCAGGCCCAATTCACAGCAACGGTGTGCAGCCTTCAAGGGCTTAGGAGAGACGCTCAAACCCAGATGGTATGCACGGCCGTGCCGTGCCTGCGTAAGGGTTACAGGTGTGCTGTTGATTCGGCGAGCCGCTTGGCAGCCCCGTGTCCCAAAAACAGGGAGCACTCTTTCCACGTGATGAGTTCGGCACGGGAATGACTCTGGGAAGCTCTCCAGCGTTGCATAAACACTCCGTGGGAAGCAGGCGCACTGAGCGCAACGCCCTCGAGCCAAGGGGAAAAGGGTTCCGTTTCACTGCCCCCCGCTTGAAAGATGCAACAGTGACAAGCATGGCTTTTGGACAGGAGCAGCAACCCCAAAAGCAGGGAAAGATGCGATGCCAAAAATGTTACATCTAGATTTAGCAGTGAGGAGGGAGGATGCAGGGAGTAACAGGTCAGTGCAGGATTTCTGTGGGAAAGAGCAAGCCAAGTGACCAGGAATGGGTTTCCGTGTTACAGACACTCATGCTGTGCTGGTTAACCTTAAACCATCAGATTAATGATTCAAGACGTGCCACGGATGCCATCTCTCACAGGCAGTATTTCCAGAGAAGTCTTCCAGTGTAAGACAAAAGCCTCTCTCATACCACAGGGTGTGCACGTGTGAGTAAATCTGTATATACGCACGCTCACACGTGGCTTGCCCCCAGTGCTTAACAAAATGTAGAGGCTCCAACTGAAGAGACAGTAAGTAGCTGATCAGAGGCTGGAGTTAAATCCTCACCTACCCACCACCCTACCTTAAACTCTGGGCAGCTCTCAGCAGCTTCCCTCCCCTGCCTCTAACTTGCAAAAAAAATAAAAGCACAGTTTATCGGCTTAAAACAAGTACGAAGAGGTAAATTCCACTGGCATAAGCTGCAGCCTCAGCAGCTGGAATTCTGAAAGGAAGCGAGCAGTGAAGGAATGTCTTCTTACAGAAAGAAATCTCCAGAGAAACCCAGAAGGCCAGCAGACAAGCCGCTCACACATCTCGCTGGGAAGGGCATTCCAGAGCATGGACGCGGCCGCAGGGAGAGCCCTGCCCTACCCTCTGGCAGACCACAGCTGCCGAACTGGGGGACCACAGCTGCACCCCCGGATCTAAGAGGATGAGAAGAATCCTGCAAGGGCAGCTGCTCCCTTAAAGTAGGCCAAGGCTATTCGGGCTTTAAAAGAAAGCACCAGCACCCTGATCAAAAAGCTTTCTGTGCTGTTAGTAGGGTCCAGACAAAATTGGTGTAACTACCTGGGCGCCAGAGCGATGCGTTATGAAGCGCTTTAAGCTGCCCTTGCCTGGTACGTCTCCAACCGAGGGGTTAATGCTCGGCTTCAGAAACAAAGCAAGCAAAAAGCAGCAGCCCTCAGCTGAATCACGCCCTGTGCCTGGCCACCAAGACGCAACATTTCTGACCGGACGAGGAACTACTTTGAATTTTCCACGAAGGAAGAGACGAGTAAGCCCGGTTTGTCCTTCCATGTCCTGGAACTTCCGGTGCAAGCAAAAACTGAACATTTGGCAGAAAGATGTTCCCTCGAACTCTTCCTCATTTACAGCCCTCCCCGCCACTTGCAATACATTTTCTTTCACATCTTCTGAACTGACAGTGGAACCCTCCCTGCTACCTGTCCGTGGCCCATATTCCACTCAGTCGGAGCGCTGCCATGGTCCCGACTTTGCTCTGCGCAGACGGCAGAATTCGTTCACTGCCTGCTCAGGCACTGCAGGGCAAGACCAGCAACAGTGGAAGACCCTGGTGTTGCAAGGAGGCCTCTCCTGGCCTGGCCTGGCCTGGCCTCTCCTCTCCAGGAGACCCAGATGAAATTTAGAAGCACGGCCCTTTCGTCGAGACAAAGCCGCGCTCTCCTTGAGAGGCAGGAGAAGCGTCTGCCCACGCAAACAGCTGAATCCAAGTTGACACTTCCCTGCCTTCCGGAGGTACGGCTGACTCCTGCTGCTGGAGGGGCAGCTGCTGGGAAGGCCAGGCCCTTTGAAACTGGTCCACTTGTTTATCTTCTCCTGGCTGGCTCAAGAAACGGCTTTTCCATTGGGTCCCCCAGGTCTGAAATGTCTTCTTCTCCTTCTGAGGAAGGATGCTCTGCCTGAGCATCTTCCCAAGCTAACGCTGAAATGGCCAAGTCCTCTTCCTGCTCTGAACTGGGCAGAGCCTTAACATGCAAGAGCTGCCCCCCCCCCAACCCCCGCTCTGCACTCATGTTTCGTGGCGGGCAGACCCTGGCAGGGTTGTCTGAAATCCGAGACTACCACTGAGAGATGGTATTGGTTATACTCAAATGACCTGACTATGTAGAAGGCCCCCTCTTGCGTGCCTAGGAAACATGCATGACTTGCCAGGAGTTTAGCTACCCAAACCCTTGATCAACTTCTGCGGAAAACCAAAATCTTGCGACTAACATAACACAACAACCCAAGTGCGGTATGAAAACCTAATGCTAAAAACTCCGGTCCCAGCGGGTCAGACTGCAATATTCTAAGTTCTACAGGAGCACGGATGTGAAACTGAAGTCTGTGGGAGCTGCCCCGTCAGGCAGATTTGTGATGGGGCATATTTCGAAAAGGGAAGCTATTATCCCAAAGCTGGAAAGTCTCAGTGATTTTATAGGTTGCAAAGCTGCAAAGAGGACTACAAGCAAGATCAGGAACCAAAGCAGGGCTGTTCATTTTTTTGAAGTTATTAAAAACAAAATTAACTGACAACATTCCCCTGGCCAGAATGAACTATCACTTAGTAGATATTATTATGATGGTTGTAGTGGATCTAAAATTGAGAGGAAGTCAACATTCAAATTCAGATGTTAAAAGTCATCACAGGTAGGAATTTACCGTAACATCAACACAGTAAACCTAGGTTAACAGCTGACCCAGTTAGCCTAATGTTTCCTCTAAGCATCGAATAAGAGAATCTTTCACAGAGCAGAACACACGCGTTTTCCTGAAGGGAAAGCTTGTGAAAGAAGAACTGCCGGGTTAGCACTTCCGGAACCAAAGATCAGCCTTACATTTTCTCAAGCTCTCTGGCGCATTTGCAAAGCACCATCTTAGATCTGAGCTTCCTTCAGGGTGAAATCCTTCGCACGCATCTTAGAGAGCAAGTTCCACTAAACACAGAGGGGCTCGCTTTGTCGAGTGACCTTTCTCGCATACCAAATATACCAGGTCAAAGTAATTTTAAAAACCCATAGACTTAAATCGAGCCTACTGACATAAATCCAGCCTTCCTTATACTTGCTGGGGAAGCAGCACTCCATCGGATCTGGAGGACACCACGTTGGGAAAGGCTAACGCAAAAAGACAAAAGAACCCCTTCTTCAAGAGAACCCAAATGCTTCCCTTTGTAGGCAGAAAATCTGTTTTGGGTTAAACTTCCCAGAACCCCAACTATGCTGGTTTGCAATCCCAAGCAGGGGCTTGCCTTAGAGGCTGCATCCAAGGCTGGTCTTCATGCCAAGTATGTTAATCAAATCAGGCCTGGATTCATATCCCTTCTGTCAGAAGGCTAAAGACGGAGCTTTATAATCACAGCCCTAAGTCTCGGACATAACTGCCCATAATGCATGAGGTAGCAGCAATTTGGCTGCTTCCAGGAAAGGTTGCAAATTGTTCCCGTTTTGGTTGGCTTCTATTCTAATTGGACTGAAATGCTTTTATTAAGATGCAAGTCAATGGATGCAGCCCCCCTTTTTGGGGGGGAAATGTTACTGTATATTTGCATTGTTTCAAAGATACTGAATTGTTTATGTCCCTTGAGCATGTGGACTCAGCTGACAAGGATAATCTCTTTAAAAGGAAAAAGGTCCAGAATTTTCCAGCTGACACAGATGAGCTAGCAGGAAATGTAACTTCTGAAAATACCATTCTATTAAGTACATTTGCATGAGCACTGTATTGTAGGAAGTAAAATACTTAAGGGAAAAGGTATTTCATTATTTTTGAGCAATTTACACAGATGGAGGCAGTGTAAAAATAAAAGCTTCACATTCAATACTACTTCTTTTTCAGGTTGTGGACTTTCGCAATCTTACAGTAATTTCCATGTACAAATATTTACCTGTTTCACACTTAAGTAGACAAATTGCGACAGCTCTGGTGAAAACCCGGTTAGTAGAACACAAAGACGGGTTTTCAGCAAGTTGTATTTTCAGCTTCATACACGGAAGGCAAGCTGCCAAAATTCAAACTACGTGTCAACAAAAACGGGCTGCCCTAGAAACCAACATCTGCAGAAGAGATAAAAGCCAGTGATGCCCTGAACAGAGGCAGGCGCCGTGCTTGTGGCCAGCGTTCAGGGGGCCAGTTCAAACGACCCAGCAGCTCACCATGGCCCATTTAAGCCAAGGCAGGATGCGGCATGGTCGCGCAGTCGTTCTGGATTGCAGATGGCCGGCTGCGACTTGCCGGGGTAACCTTGGGTCTGTGGGCGACGTGCAGTTTAGACACAGGACCCAACCACAGACCGTGGGGAGGGCTGTTGCAGACCCCCCGATTTGCTAATGCCAACAGGCCGCGGGCAGATGCTGGATATGCAAACGGTGCCAACCGTGTCGTGAATTAGTCAGGGTGGGCTCTGTGGATTGTGGAATCCGGGCCACTGTGTTAATGCTACATTTTCCACATTATTTATCAATGAACTGGTATTGCGGAATCATTCCAAGACGTTTCCACTGGAACTGCTTTTTCCCTTCATCATGGACAGGTCTGGAGCAGTGCATATTTGAGGTACCCATCAAAGGCACAGGGACCCTCGAGGTTCAAGGCCCGGGGAAACCCATTCCTGGGAACAAAGATGAAGTGGGGGCTTTGTGCCCCCTTTGTGAGCTTCCCGGAAGCATCAAGAGCTGACAGCTCTTGGGAAGATGCTGAATTAGATGAACCACAGCTCTCGCCCAGCAAAACTCTGCTCATCTTCTCACTAAGAATATGCATCCACTGGTGTTTTCACTCTCCTCCCACACAAAGGTTTTCTGCACGACGTCGCATGACAGCAGAAGGTGTCCTGCTGTTTGGAAAGCGTGATTTTATTTTCTCACTGATTTTCTTATTTCCTCCCCAAAATAGACTCTCTCACCATTACTATATGCTGCAAACCACACAAAATGTGAAGGCAGCAGCAAGAATAAGCTAACGCCAAATGTCTGAAACACACACACATGCATCGACATATGATGGTTGTGGCACATGAAAAGGATGGCAAGGCACCATTCTGCAAAGCGCAACATTTCTTGGTAAAACCCAGGCCTGGCTCAGATGGCCATGGGCTGCGCGTGCCCAGGGTGCAACCAGCGTTTGGATGCAGAGGGGCCTTTCCGGTGGCTGCCCCTCAGCCATGAACAAGCGCCCCAAAGAAATCCGCCTGGCGCCAACCTTGTTCTCGTCTCAGCACAGGCAAAGGCATTTCTTTTCCCTGAATGCTTCAAAGAACGGATCTGAAACGTGCAACTTATCCTGGCGTCCGCTGTCCTGCACCTGGTGTAATTATGATGTCCAATTGTTGTTTTTTTATTGTATGTCTGGTTTTATTGCTGCGTTTTTAGTATTGTACTGTAAGCCACCTAGAGAATCCCTTCGGATCAGTGAGCAGCATACACATTTTGAAATAAACAAATAAGCAAGCACGACTGTGATGTGTGGCCCTGCCGCCGGAAGAACTGCTTCACAATCCAGAGCAGAAAGGCCCCCTGGCCGCCGAAGGCACGAGGGCAGCCCCGCCTCCTCCTTTGTCCCGGCACTGCGCCCCAGGGACAGGCCACCTCTGCCGCGGAGGCCCCCCCAGTGGCCCACCACGCCTTCCCAGCCGGGGCCCTTCACCTCAGTGGAAATCCCGGGGGGGGGGGGTGAGGAAAGGAGCACGTGCAACAAGGGCTGCCGCTGGGTGCTCAAAGCTGGGCACGTGGAATCACTGCTCCCCCTGAGCCTGAGGCTGGATGTGCTCCCCCCCCCCAGCCCCTTCCCTTCCCTCACGGATGGGGACTCCCTCTGGGCTGCCTCCCACTTTCTAGGCAGCTGTGCCAAGTGGGAGGGCTCCTCAGGCAATATCGTGTGTGTGTGTGTGTGTGTTATAAACACACATGGGTGAATGTGAAAAAAGATGTTCATTTTATATATATTCATGATCTCTTGCAGAACCCCCAGCAAGCGACCTTTTGCAAAACCCCAGGGTTCTGAACACTCCTTCCATCCCCTGGCACAATAAAGAGGAGGCCGGGAATGTGTTGCCAAACCTTAAACTTGGTTAATCTTATTTATGGCAAGTGGAACAAACCAACTTTGTTCTAACTTTGCTTGTTTCTACTGGACATCAGTCACGGGAACCACTGGTCAGGTCCTGGTCATGTTGACCATGGTTTACTTGGCTACTGAAGGTAGCTCATATTTTGGATTGTCAAAACTACCCGGGAAGTTGCATTCCAAGTATAATAAGAGGTTTCTCCTTCCTGAAATTAGCACAACCCTTTCAGGAAAGAAATTGGTTCCTGTTGTGGCCAGTTGATTTCTTGACTCAATGACTGCCGACTTCTATATAGAACTGCCTAGTTTAAAAAGGGAACTGCCTCTTCTTTCGTGGCTCCACATTCTACTTCTCTACCAACATAAACAAGGCTTGCTAACTCATCAATGTGCCTTTAAGCAATCTGGAAGCATACAGCAACGAAAGGATGTTTGCCCCAAATAGCCCTCGTGTGCGTAAAATGCACCATCGAGGCAAGACGCCGGAGCAGCTGCTGAAAGCTGTGCTGCCACTCCCAGCTGCGACGGCACGCCAGCTGCTCGGTGCTCACCTCAGCTTGGCGGATGTTCTCCCGGGCTTCATCCATCTTTTGCTCCAGTTCTGCTCGGCTCTGCTCAGACACCACAGGCCCGTGGCACTCCAATTCCTCAAGAGTCTGCCATCAACAAAGGGGAAGAGGTCGGTGTGCTTTAAAACCCACCGCTTACGGAATAACTGTTCTAAGCAACCACTTTACTCCAGCTGGGTGAGCGGGAGTCCCCCCAGACATTGGATTATTCCATTTCTATGCTGTCCAACAGCTGAAACTCTGTATGGACGCAGTCAGAGAAACCACCCTGTTTCAGTCCGAAGGAGAAAACAGGGAGACTCCCCGGACTCAGTGGCGGTCCCTCATGTGGCAGACGGTTGCCTGCCGCTGTGCCGCTTACTTTATGCTTTTATGCTTAAATGCAGGGCTCTGCGACTGGGTTTCCATTCCAGCCCTCGTTCACGGCAGCATGTGACAACAGCGACCGCGCCAATGCTGGCCACACGGAGCTGGCCCACACGCAAACCACTGGGAAATGTGGCGTTTGCCCTTCAGACGGGACAGCATGTGACCCTTTGGCGAGCTCAGACATTTCCCTCAGCTGTTTCTGCTTATCAAGAGCAGTGCCTTGAGCTGTGAGAAAGAGAACAAAGCTTTTCTTCCCCCTTGAGGGAGAAGAGAGAAGGAAGGGAGTCCCAGGAAGAACACTTTGTTCTGGAGATTTGCAGTTGCTTAGACATGTGGAGTGCCTGGGCCTCTTGCCCAGAAAATCTAACAGCGATAAATAAAAATAAAGTCGCGCATATTGTGCTGACGGGAAAAATGTAATTCCTGCTCCAGGAAGGTGCAAAAGGGAAATGGGGGGGAAAAGCCATGGCTTCACATGTCAGGCGTGCGTGAGTGCGCCTGGCCTGGCCCGACACTTGCAGCGTCTTCTGGACCTGTGGCCCACCATGGCACCCCCAAGCTATTTCCTAGCATGGAGATGGAGAGGGGCAGAAGAGGGCTGGAGAAGGGCTGAGAGGAGGGTGGGGATCAGACTGGGGAGAGAATGGAAGCGCATGTGCATTGCCAGTCTAAATGTTGGCTAACCACGCAGTGGTGCTTCAGAGAAAGCGGAAGCCCTGCGGCGCCACCCCCAAGCCCCCGCACGAGAGAACAGAATTCTGTTGGGACCGCGGCCTTGCAGATTTCCAGCCAAGTAACGCAGGCCTCTTGCCCCGGCCTGACTGCCTACAGTGAGCGGCCGGAGGACTGGAGACACCCCTTTCTCTGCTGCCAGGACTAACGATTTCCAACCTACCCGCTGACTGTGAATGATGTTTTTGTGCTCCCGCGCAACACGCGTGGCCCATTTTCGGGCCTCCTTGTTCAGACTGTGCTCTTCTGTCGTCCCAGTCTCCGATTCCAGTTGTCGGCTCTGAAACAAACACAAAGAAGAAGAAGAAAGTGAATGGGAGGATTTTTTGGGACACAATCCCTCCCCATCCAACACTGTCCTTGTTACGACGCCCCCTGAACATGCTTTCTTGGAAGGGAGCTGAAGGACATTTGCGAAATGGCTTTCTCCAGCATCTTGTTACATGAAAATTGGCAAAGCAAGACAACCGCCCCCCCCCGCTCTTTGACCAGGAGCCATGGAACTGAGGGGCGAACATGTGAAACCAGAGCAATTTGCTTTTTATGACTTTTCAAAAGCTAGATACATTTTTTATTTTTTTAGAGGCGGCTGCATAGTTGGACCCAGATTCTCTTTCATGCAAAGAGTCTTGAAGTGTGCTAAAGTCGAGCCAATTTCAGAAGCAGAAGAGCTGTACACACGACAAATAAAATGCCTCTGGCACCCAGGCAATTTGAGGTGGTGCTAAAGCATAAGAGACTTTAGCCATACTTCCAGAGGGTCTTCGTTTTATACCCAACCACAAATCGGCGAACACAGGAAAGACAAAAAGCAGTATGATTTCACATAGGCCTTCACTACTTACCCAACTAGCCCATGCATTTCACCAAGAAAGGTTTCTTGCCCCCCCCCCCCCCCCCCCCCCCCACAGACGCCAAGGTAAGCAGCAGCAAATGACAAGCACATGCCATGGCTGAGTTGCGCGTGGCTTGCGCACCAATGCGCCAGCCACGGGAACCAGGCCAGTGAGAATGGCCCAATGACAGACAAACAGGCCTTGCAATGGACATTAAAGCTGCAGCAGGGATGCTCTGGGTGGGCTGCGTGAAAGGGATGTGCGTTCAACCCCAGGATCCTGCAAGTCAGAAAAACAAAGGCGGGTTTATCAGAAAGACATCGATAGGAAGGACGCGTCGTCCCGAAAGCAGGAGCTCCTCTCTTTGATGACGGTGTGGCCTTACAAGGCGGGCAGGCAGCAGTCTTCCTCACGGTTACGGCTGGCGCCTTCCCCCTTCTTTCATCAGATTATCTTGTACAAGTCCACATAAAATGTGCTCCAGAACAGAAGCGTAATGCCTCAGCCTCTTACTCACTTCAGGTAACTCCTGAGACCAGTGCTTGATCTCTACCGGAGAATAAGAGAATGAGCAAAGGCTTTCAAAGAGCTATTCGGTCTAAGCCTTCAACCTATATTCACCTATGAATTGCAACTGCAGAAGAACTGCTCCAGTCTTCTATGGAGACATCCCGACCTCTCTCCTAAGCGGCCGTGGTTCCCTGCACCTGCTCTTTTGGAACTGGGCCTTGTTAGTGGCGCTGCCCTGCTTGTACAGCTCCCTCACAAAGGAGGCCCGCCTGGCACCTGCATTTTTATCTTTTCAGCAGCAGACAAAGGGCTGTTTAGGCTCTCAGACATCACTCCCTCACCGATATTTTAGAACTAAATTGCACTTTGGGTCTTCCCGGCTTCATCATGGTTTTGAAACTCATAAACTGCCCTCTGGCCTTCTGGCGGCACAGGCATCCAGTAACACATTCAAGGAGCAACGTAAACCCGCGGCCGGTCTCTGTACTTGCTTCTGTATCACTGCACCCCATTCGCTCTTGTAAAGGAAAATGTAGGTGCCGACAGATTTCTTCTCCCCTCAAAATTAGATGGGTCGCAAATACAATGTTTGCCTGAACACTGTTTGGAAATGTTATGCTCTAACAGGTGCCTGATGGTTTTGAGCGCATCGCCTTTCGAACATGCCCCTGAGTGCCAGCGGCAGCCGACAATCTGGCCTAACTCTGAAACAGGGCTTGCTCTGCAGCAGGACTTGCGCGATTAGTCAAGTACACCAACACCAGCAAAGGCTGTTGTGGCAACTTAACAAATAAGCGATTTGCTAGTCTTGGCGGTGGCATAAGACTCCTTGGCAGCATGCTGGTTGTTCCAGGGGCGTATGCCATGCCTGTATCTCAGTCCAATTCATTCTGCGGGTATCGGGTTTTGCTAGAGTGTCTGATTGCAACTGGCTGCTTGCAGATCCTACAAACAGCCAGAAACAGGCACCGCGGTCTAGGAGGACTTTGGTATGGCTGACCCTTAACCTCTTCCAGCTTCTCCGCTGGCAGAGGGAAGAGTGTCTTCCCCACACAGCCCGCTAGACACAAGAATCCCAGACAGTTGTGAAATCGCCCTGTTTTGTGTGGGCTGCACACTCAGATACGTTGCAGTGCTAGTTGCTAGATGCCAGCAGGGACGTGCGTTTGCAAAAATGCTGCCAGTGTGTGTCACTGGATCGCAATTCCAGCTCCAATTCATTCCAAGAGGAGGAAAACAAGCCCTCCCCCACTTTGGCCTGACTGGACAAGCAGGAGTCCAAAAAGCTGCACTAATTATAGATTCGCTTTCGGCCTCAAAGCTCCCAGCCTGGCTTACAGTAAAGCGCTGTGAGGTGCTTCAAGAAACAACGCCAAAAACCCTTGGCCTTTCAAAGCAGAGCAGAACTCTCACTTCCATGCAAGAATCACAGTGCCTCTTTCTGGGAATGCCACAACTGGGACAGCATGTCGTGGCAACTCATTATGGGCTGTCCTGTCACGGGAACCTGGACCGATTGCCCCAGGGTGGCTTGTTCAAGGCTCACAAGCCACCAGTAACCCGCGGGCTCTTCTAGGCACGGCTGTATCCAGGACGGGTTGCTCTGCAGCGTCAGCTACACCTGCATGGCAGAGTCCACCATGGACACGGGGAACCGGCCACGGGTCCCTTGGCGAGAGTGGCGAAAACCCCCTGCCACACTTGCGTGGGGCTCCCAGGGAGCAGTGAGCGCCAGCCACCCACAAGGGTGCCCACGCAGCAGCTGGGAACAGCTGGAAGTGGCAACCACAAGCCCCTTTGGGATCACTGCGGCCTTTTCTTTTTCAATCTGGTTTTCAGAAGATTGTGAAAACCACCTGACAAGTCAGTTTTTTCAATCCTTGTTTCGACAGCCATAGACGGCCTCTTCGAAGTATCCCAGCAGCACCTTGAAGGGCTCATGTATGGTTGCAAAACCATTCTGGGGGGAAAAAATCCTTTAAAACCCTGTGCCAAAAAAGGAGTGCATTTCAGGTTTTAAACATCTTGCGCAAAGTTATTCAACTGCTGGGATTTGAGGCCTCAGCGGGACCAGCGTCCTGGAGCTGGTTCCAACTGTGAACCCCCCTTTTTGGTTTCCCTTTACAGTTGTCAAAAGACAAACTGACAAGAGAAACCAAAGAGGTAAGGGATCATTGCACAAAACAGTGGGGTTTTTTTTGAGGGGGGGTGGGTTATGCCACTCTCAGGCAAGGAACTGAAGGGTTAGGGTTGGGTGCGTATTTTATACTTTGTTCTGAGCCTCTGGGTTCCTGGGGAAGTGCAGAGAGCACCCGGCCTCCATTCGCTGGGCAGCGGGTGGCTTTTGACTGGGACATATGGCTGTGTGTTCCAGTCAAATAATCCCCATCACCCAGAAGAACCCCCTTTTGAGAGGATCCCAAGAATCTGACTGCCACTTCTCTCTACCCAGCCCCTTCCCTCTCTATTTCTGTCCTACATTACCCTTTCCTTGCCTTCTCTCCCTTGTTCTCCGGCTTTCCGGCCCTGGGCCTGGCGCCTTCTCTCACCTGCCTCTTTACATTGCCGTTTCTCTCTGCTTCCAGCTTGCTACCCTCTTTCCCCAGCTCGTGCGTTGCTATTTCTCGCCCGCTCTTTCAACTAGCCAGGCCACCAGGGCAACCTGTGTGACTAGCCACATCCTCCCTGGGAGCCATTTTGTAGTGGTGCCCAGAGAAGTTTCCCAAATGTTCCCGAAAACTTTGGGGATATGTCTAGCTCCTGTAGATTGTTTAAGGGGGAGCAGCCTTCTCACAGGAAGACAGAAATTTTGGGTGGATATTTATTTATGCAGTAAAGTTGGATACAACCTGAAGGTTTGGAATGAATTCTTGAAAACTTATTCACAAGAAGGTTCAATTGCTCCCCTATTTTTCATTAGGGTGTAAGAATTTGAAAGAGGAATTGGTCAGACTAAAGAAAAAAAGTCCACCTCTTATCTTGTTGAGCACATCACTAACAAAAAAGGAAGATAAAACTCTCAACAGAAACAAGCATTGTACTGCAAAGTACAACAAAACATCTCAGCCGTTGCTTTCAAGAGAGAAGATGTGCAGCTTCTTTGCAGTTTACCACTTCAAGACCTACATTTCGATCAAACTCTTCTTGATAGGTAGAAAATATGCATGATTTATAGTTCACAGACTTCTCTGAACTCAGTTGAATTTACTGCCTTGCATGTTCACTTTCTCATTCTGAATCTGAATTTTCATGGCTTAGTTTTTCAGTTCTTGGACATTCAAAGTATCCTTTTTACTTAAATGCCTCTAAAAGACGCTGCAGGATAATGTATTCTTCTGTTAACAGTTCACACACGGAGCAAAAACTTGCACAAAGACTCCCAAGAATTCCTCGCCCTGTGTAGAAAAGCCAACTATCGCAGCAGCTGTGCTAGAATTTAGCGCTTCTCCCATGCACTGAACTGATGTTTAAATGGAAACCAAAGAAAGGTTCTCGTTAAAGCACCCCCAGTGTCAGTGGGGAGGGGGAGAGAAAGCATCTTTGAAAGGGTCTTGGCACATATCTACAGACTCCCTGATTATCTGAGAATGACTGCAACTCCCTCCCGAAAAACCTTCTTTGTAAATGAGCGTGTTCACAGCTCTATGGGTCCCACAAATGAAGTGCCTCATACAAATGCCCGGCTTTGTTAGTAAGACTATTTTTGTTGTGTCTTATCTATTCGCCTCCTTCCCAGGAGTTATGTGAAATCTAAAAGGAAGTTGGGAAAGAAGAATGGCCCTCGCTTTACAGTTATGTTTTCCATTTCCTGCAGCTTCGTTGAAAGGTTTAAAGCAGTAACTCTCGACTATTCATACTGGGATCCGTGTTTAACCCCAAACTAAAACACATCTAAATCTGTATTGTTTCCTTTTTTTGCCTTGCCTTTTTCTCT